TGAATTCATGCTGACACTGTCCTTCTTTCTGGAGGGTGACTACTTTTGTTCTCCATGGTCCCTGTTAGAAAGTAGCCACCGCTCCAAGCTCACTAGCATGGTAGACTACAATCTCAATACAAATTAGTATACTAAACATTAGATTGTAGTCCATCACAGGAGTGAGCTTAGAGTGGTGGCTACTTTACAACACACACTGGGACCTTGGGGAGCAAAAGGAGCCACCCCCAGAAGGAAGGATAGGTCAGTGTTTTAAGGTTTAACTCCTGACTTTTGTGTCACTTTAACATCTCCTTAAGATATACATACTCAGGTTATTATATGCATTTACCTGACTGTAATAGCATCAGTCAGCTCCATTTGATGTTAAATTGCTATTTTGTGTGTCCAATTCTTAGGCACTCATATGGTTAAATAAAACTACAGCACATCTTAGTAAGCAAGGAATAGCAGATGCAAGAACATTTGGTTCTTATTAAATCAAGTGATAGATCGGGCTTAATGTACATTTAAATGTTAATTTCTCCCACCAGGCATTATTGTAGAGTGTCTATCTGTTTGGAAGTTAATGAGTAAAGATTTGAAATACTGTATAATAGCTGATTGAAAATGGCAGGGTTAAGTAATAATTGGGATTTAAAGATACCAGCAGTGACCCCCCAGCTAACAGATCTTGGGGGAAAGTCTGATTGCCAGGATGCCATATTTTATATAAAAGTCTAATGTTCTTCAAGAAAACAAATGGTGCCCGGAGGACCTGTAGCGCACACAAACTTGAACTCACTGGTGATATATGTTTAGGGGAAAAAAGGAGAAATAAATGATTCACTACCCGGATTGCATACCAATATGAACACACTGTTTAATATAGGTGACTGGCCATAATCAAGCTATGCATGGAATCTAACATGACCATTGCCAACCCACGTGTGTGTCTTATCACTTCTTTATCACTCCTTTGTTGACTGACATTAATAATCAGTAATCAGTATCAGACACTTCAGAATGAGTTTCATTATAACAACTCGCTAGTTATTTTTTACTAAACCTTTTCTAAAATCATTTTTTCAAATGTACAACAGTTTTCTATTAGAAATATACTTACATCACAAGCAATTATTGATTGCAGTATTTGATATAACTCTTCAGGCTATTGTATTTCTAAAAGTAGGTTCAAATTCTAACTATATGACATTTACAGGGTTATTCACAAAAGGGTGAAGAGTTTGGAGCTGGCAGGAGAAGTGAACAATCTAGGACAAAGTAGCTGATTTGGAAACATTCTCCAATTCAGTTCACTTTCCAGTCCAGCTATTTTGTCCTAGATTGTTCACTTCTCCTGTCTTCTCCAAACTCTTCACCCTTTTGTGAATAACCCTGTAATTTAGTTTGCTAAAGCACTCTGTAATATAAAGAATTGCCTTACTTCTTGTCTTCATTCACTTGCTCCAGCACTGGCAACACATCATTGCTCTGGATCAGCTTCTTGACAATGATGGACCATGCTAGAGCAATGTGTGTCATCATGGCTGCTTTCACTCTTCACACGTGACAGGGTGACAATGCAGAAAGACAATTGTCACCCCATAACAGGTATTGCAGGAACAAAGATCCTAAATGCAGGATCACTAGGTGTTATTTCAGTTAAAGCTGCAGACCTGAAGAAGTCCTAAATCACAGCATATACTATCCTGTTCAGCATCAGCATGAGATCAGCATTACAAAAAGAATACATACTTTAGTTGTTTCTACTTGAGCTTACTTGAAAAAAATCTCTTTTATGATACCTTTTATGTAGTGAGTGATGCCTTCTATCTGCCCATCCCTTTCACCATCTTGCTAGATTCCCAGTGTGCTTAGTGTCTCTTTCCCTGCTGCTTGATGAGATGCAATCTCAATCTCTCTAGACTACATATCGTATCATGCATTGCTTCTAGGAAACAATGGTGATGTTACATAGTTCAGACATTGAGTTGTAGTTCAGACAGCAGGCACTGTGAGAGTGGTGACACAAGGAAGTGCATAATTACAGGGCTGTGAGAAATTGTGTTAGTGCATTGAGGATGTACATCCAATGGGCATCTTCAATAAGTTTACAAACTTCTGGAGTGATATTGTTATTAGAAGTTGGCTTGAACTTAAGGACATTCAATACAGAAATACATATTTATTTTTAATTTTTGACCATAGTTACGCTTTAAAAAGTTTGAAGACAACTTTTGAAATCGCATAAAAGCTTATATGAGATTTTAGTGATTGGACTTAGATCTACTTTAATGCCACTAACACCCCAAAAGATTATGTATGGAAGTCATGACTTATGAGTGTCTTCAATATCCAAAACCACAGACTGAGTAATTTTAAACTAGTACGTAGCAGACATCTCTCCTTAGTACAAAAGGAGCTTATGTGGATTCCAATGATCATAGTTATGTTACTACAGTACAAGTGAGCAGACTGCTGACGACAGATAAAATTAATTGTCAAAACACTGCCTGAGGACAATAGATCACTGGAAGATCTCTTACCAATATACTTGCCCCTAAGGACAGTTTGCATATACTTTCTAAGGGCAATAGAACACTAGAAGATCTCTTACCCATATACTTGCCCCTAAGGACACAGTTTGTATATACTGCCTAAGGACAATAGATCACTAGAAGATCTCTTACCCACATACTTGCCCCTAAGGTCAGTTTGAATATACTGCCTAAGGACAATAGATCACTAGAAGATCTCTTACCCATATACTTGCCCCTAAGGACAGTTTGCATATACTACCTAAGGACAATAGAACACTAGAAGATCTCTTACCAATATACTTGCCCCTAAGGACAGTTTGCATACACTGCCTAAGGACAATAGAACACTAGAAGATCTCTTACCCGTATACTTGCCCCTAAGGTCAGTTTGAATATACTGCCTAAGGACAATAGATCACTAGAAGATCTCTTACCCACATACTTGCCCCTAAGGACAGTTTGCATACTGTATGCAGTACTGCCTAAGGACAATAGAACACTAGAAGATCTCATACCAATATACTTGCCCCTAAGGACAGTTTGCATATACTGCCTAAGGACAATAGAACACTAGAAGATCTCATACCAATATACTTGCCCCTAAGGACAGTTTGCATATACTGCCTAAGGACAATAGAACACTAGAAGATCTCTTACCCGTATACTTGCCCCTAAGGACAGTTTGCATATACTGCCTAAGGACAATAGATTACTAGATTATCTCTTACCCACATACTTGCCCCTAAGGACAGTTTACATATTGTATACAGTACTGCCTAAAGACAATAGATCACTAGAAGATCTCTTACCCATATACTTGCTCCTAAGGACAGTTTGCATACACTGCCTAAGGGCAATAGCACCCTAGAAGATCTCTGTCTTACCCATATACTTGCCCCTAAGAACAGTTTGCATATACTGCCTAAGGGCAATAGAACACTAGAAGATCTCTTACCCATATACTTGCCCCTAAGGACAGCTTGCATATACTGCCTAAGGGCAATAGAACACTAGAAGATCTCTTACCCATACACTTGCCCCTAAGGACAGCTTGCATATACTGCCTAAGGACAATAGATTACTAGAAGATCTCTTACCCATATACTTGCCCCTAAGGACAGTTTGCATATACTTCCTTAGGACAATAGATCACTAGAAGATCTCTTACCCATATACTTGCCTCTACGGACAGTTTGCATACTGTATACAGTACTGCCTAAGGACAATAGATCAGTAGAAGATCTTTTACCCATATACTTGCCCCTATGGACAGTTTGCATACACTGCCTAAGGACAATAGATTTCTAGAAGGTCTCTTACCCATATGCTTTACTTATATAATATATTTATATATATTTATATTTAAACAATTCAATGTAATATATTGAACCAACCTTTGTACAGAGTGTTTGCTATGTCATTACGCTGTATGGGGCTATTTTTAGCTGTGTTTTTCCCAGCTACTACACAAGGCATTCTTGCCTTGTGCTGTATAAATGACGAGAGAAGAGCACAGATTGGGAAAGGCTCATAGACCACTATTGCCAGTTTTCTGCATGCAGTTACTACCTTGCAGTTTATGACATGGCTTGTAGTGGGAGGTCTGAGAGACTGAACCAGTTAAGACATGACATTCCTGGTAAACTCACAGTGTAATCTCATTGCACAGACTGCTCTTTCTGGTTAACAGAGCTGCTGCCAAGTGAGTTTTAATTAAAAACAAAACTGCATATTTATTTTTTCTAGGCTTTTGGATCGTCTGGAGCTTTTCTCTACAATGTATAGTTGGGAAGCCAACAGGCTGAACAGATCAGTAAGGGGTAAACAAGATCCCTATGGCAAGAACTGCTTTCAGTCTGAAAGGAACATGTAAAGCCAATAAATTGTGTTGGAAGAGTCACACAGAGAATACTCAGAGCACAAGAAAACAGATAAAGAAACAAGAGACAATAGACTGACATGGAATTCTCACCCTGTGACTATTGTAAGTGAGTTTTCATTATATTCTCTTTGTTGTTGTTGTTGTTGTTGATGCTCCTCTTTGATGCTGTTTAGCTTTTTGTCATTCGGGTGTTTTGACTTAATGTGCCTCTTTTACAAATGTTTAAACACAGTTCTTAAAACCGAATCAATATGAAAAGTCCAACTGAGTTTTTCACACAGCTGTAAAGTGAGTTAACAACTGATGAACAATATATTAACCTGCCAGGCTGTAATGACTGTTCCTATTGATCGTGTGTCAGATATAGAGATTCACATAAGGAAACCCATATTAGAATTGAAATGCTGTCACTAATGTTACATTTTCATCCTGCAATGGTTCCTTTTTTTTTTTTTTTTTTTTTTATGTAG